AAAAGATAGCATCAATCCTTTCTGCAGCCACTTTATCCCAGGGAAGGGGGGGGGGAGGAATCCTTCTGATGCTGAGCTGGACCATTTATGTATTTTTAAGCTAATATGTACATGTCTCCGGAAGGAGAGCCTCTGACTTTGATTTCCCTAATATTTATCTGTCTATTGGAAAGCTGATTGTGGGAGGCAAGCCAGGTTATTTCAGACTTCTTGTGATGTGCTTAGTGGCACAGGCCCAATGAGCATGGCATGAAGCAAAGTACCTATCCCACTGTCAGCCAAATCTTTTCCACTTGAGCCGTTCCCCCCCCCTCCTTGGAGCTGAGCCAGCCCAGTTCAGCTCTTTTGTAGGGAATGAGGAACCAGTATTGATTTCCCATTTAAGCCAATCTTGTGTGAGCCCACCGCTGCCTCCCTCGCTACCAACGTGGGGAGGGGGGAGCTATGGAGGAAACCAGCTGCAGCACTTCCAGCAGAGAATTGCTTCTTTGAGACAGACCTGCACGGAATTGCAAATCAGGCAAATAAAAGGAGAAAATGGAAGGGCAGATAGGCTTTCCTTTCAATCTAGATATACAGACAGCACTCCCTTTCTGTAAGAGGGAAACAGGGAATTTGCTTGTTAGAGCAAGTGAAGGGGATTCTTATTACGGGCTTCAGTGTAGTTGTCAGCCATAATAATGAATTCTTATACTGTCGTAGCCTTGGAACGGGCAGGTACTGTGAAGATACATATTTGTAATATGAAATAGTCATTGCAGCTATTTCAAAAGCACATGGAGATTTGCTGCAGCAGGACATTTTCTATGGAGTTTTAACTCGAGACTTTAATGAGCTATGGAGATTAGCAAACTTTTTGCAATAACTGTTAAGTTACTGGAATCGATGTGTGTTCAGCAGACATCCATTTCCAATTGATTTCATATTATCTCTAGTGTGAATTTGAGCAGTCTGTACTCTCATGCTGTGAGTGATGTTTTCCCATAAACTTCAAAAATTGATTTAAATATTTTCACAGCCTGATCCTATCTGTGCCTGTAGCTGTTGCAGTGCAAACAGCTACCACTGTGCAAGGCAGGCAGGACCATGCTGCATGCTTCTAAGAGATGGGGGAAACCTCAGGCCACCTTTCCTAGCAAAGGCCCCTAGCATTAGGAACTGGGCACCTCCCCCATGGACAATGTAACTAACATGTGTTTCAAGCCATTGGTTCCACAACATGCCCAATTCCCTTCCCGTCTTGAAAAAGCTCCCTGTACTTGAAGATGTCTTTCCTGCACTAATAGTAGCACAGATTGTTTCTGCTGTGGTCAAGGGATGAGCAGGGACAGTTCCTGATGCTAGAACAAGGTGACAGGGAACCTTCATCACTGTCCTGCATATTAGAAATGACAGAATATAAATATTCCTGGTGCCCATTGAATTCATGGTTGTGCTTCTCACAGTGGCCATCCAGGTGCTTGCAGAAATCATAGAGGTAGGAATTTGAAGTTGCTAGCGTGAGGGTGGGGGATCTAAGGCCCAAATATAGCTCTATAGGGCTCTCTATTCAGTCATTAGACTGTCCTCTGTGTCACCTGACTTCCCAGCCACCTCCTCAAGTATTCTGGCCAGACTGGAATGTGATCTTCAACTGGGATAATGCCTCTAGCTTGCCTGGAAAGTAGACAGAGAGAAGTGTATATTTCACAACTAGTTCAAAAGCAAAATTTGCCTTCGTTGTTCCACCTAATTTTGCACCACTGGGATGTGGCTCCTGTAAGGTGGTCCAGAAGGGAACACAGCTGTTTAGCTGGAATAGCCCTTTTCCACCATTGCTTTCTAGTGTTCGGTGGCACTTGTTTCTGAACTTGAAGGTTTGATTTAGCCATTTTGGCTGATCTCTGTAGGTAGACCTCATCTGTAACTAGCTATCTAATGTTCTTTGAAATCTGTCTAAACGAGGGGTCAACACTACATCCCATGGTCATGAGCCATCCCAGAGAGATAATGAATAATTTTCCGAAAGTATTGGCTGCTTGAATATACAAAATATAAAATGAAATGAATTGCACTCAGTAAATACATTTGACAGCAGGGCTACTAGCAGCAGTATACTTTGTTCACACATGACATAGCTCGTGTAAGTAGACAACTGGAAATACAAAGCAAAAATAAGCAGTCAATTTTAATGTGTTAACAGGCTTCCAGACTTAAAGAGGATTGTAGAGACAGAATTGGACAAAAACAAGTGGAAATTTGGTAATGTTGGTAGGATTTAGTATCATCATTTATGTATTCTAAGAAAAAGAAAGACCATGAAACTGGTGATATGTCTTTGGCAAGGAAGCAATGTATTGAAAACCATGGCAAGCCTCAAGGCTTTATATGGTAGTCAGGGAGAGAGAAATAAGGAACAACAAATGTCAACAGGTGCAAACAGCTTCCTCTGTTTTAACATAAAGTCATAAAAATATCATACTCTGATATGGAATGCTGGAAGAAAATGTATTTCAAATTCAAAATGTCACTCACAACCAATAGGAGGAGAAAATTTTCTGCCTAGGGCTATACTAATTCTTTAATGTGATGGCATTCCTGTTCAGAGAGGCCTGAAAGCTTCCCCAGGCTGCCACACATGGTTGGTGTCCATGTCTTTATGCAGCTTTCCCTGCAAGGATCTTGAGTACATTTTCATTTTAATGGGTTCCCAAGTCAAGCATATCTGGCAAAGTCACTCAGGAGGGCAGGGGGAGTGGGGGAGAGCTCATCCAAAGGACAGTGACTTCCATTTGCATCAGCAGCACTGAAAAAAAAGGCATTAAAAAAAACCCACAACACTTTGTGATTGAGGGGCAGGGAATCCAGGGGTTTTTAATTGCAGGTGGCAGATAATACAGTTAATATATTGTCCTTCTATAGTCTTTTCAGCACTGAAGAGAAAATTGCTCGATAAGTAATCTTGAATCGATGTGTCTCCCACTAAATTCAGCTTCTGTTGCTGGTATGCTTTAGTCCTGCCTGAGTGGACGTCTTCTCATCCAGTGCCACCCCCACCCACTTTTAACATTCTCAGCAAGCTGGATTTATGACCCTATGAAATCAAGGAACAGAAGCATCTTTTTCCAGAAACCATCTGCACTGGTGAGCATATTGAATGGTTGATGGAGTATTGAATGATAATCCTAAAAAGGCAGAAGGAGGTGCGGACAGGGGACACCTCTATCTTCTTCTTCAGAGAGAGAGAGAGAGAGAGAGAGAGAGAGAGAGACTTTCGTTTATTTCATTTTTCATTCCAACCCCATTTCAGCCACTGCGAATGACAGTGTAAATGATCAAACAACTGTTTGCTAATGCATTATAGATAGCTATACACAATATGGCAGCTTTATACTTGTGTATTTACCCACTATGAATACAGAATATACTAAGAGTGACAGGTAATGCAGCCCAAGCTTCTACTCCCTGTAAGCATCTGTGTACGATGAATTATAAATGAGAGTCTTGTGTCCAAAGGTACCAAGTAATGCAGATAATGCCATCGGAGTAAATGAATAAAAAGGGAAACAGCTGCTTTTTGCATTCGGGGCACACAGGTACATCCAGGAAGTCACCAGTACAGATTGTAGATGGCTGGCAAAGCAGCTGCGTTTGGCGTTGAGTGTCAGATGCAAGCCTACCTGGACTACCTTGAATAGGTAAGAAGTGCTTTTCTCGCCTTCATTTTTTGACAAATTTCCAGAAGAGGTGAAGGGCACCTGTCTGAAAGCACTTGATCTGACCGGTATCCCATCTGCTGCCCTAAATTGCTTTGCTGAAACTTTGAAAAGCAGCACAGCTGCTTAGACAGGGTTTCCTTGACGTCGGAGAGTGCACAAGAGGGAACAAAACTGCCTTTCAATCATATGAACCACAACCACCACCACCCATTCTTGGATCACTTTTCATGATTTTTTTTACTCCCCCCTCACCCTTTCAGGTAGCCCTTGTTTCCAAGTTATTAAAATGCAACCTTCTAGGATGAAGAAAGGAGTTTAATGGTGTTTCACAATCACCTTCTTCCCCATCCAATGTATAATGCAAGCAGAATATCTGGATCCAGCTTTTACAGTTCAGGGGTTGGGGTTTTGGAATGTGAGATTTAGGAACAGATAATCAGACAGATTAGATGAATTACAATTGTGAAGAATTGCTGGTGTGCAGTAGACATTGATCCTTCTTTTGCCATTGTAAAGTGAATTGGATAGTTTGAGAAATGCAGTTTTTATGGCTATTCTGCTGGACCTGTGATTCGTAACCATTCAGTTTTATTGACTGTCCTATCCTTTTTCATTTATGTCTTCAGTGCTGCCCTTTTCTTTCAGTTCAGTTATTCTTTATAACCCATTTAAGCTTGTAATGAAAGTTTATTTTCCATGAAGTTTTAACACCTTATTTGTTTTATAATAGGGTCACTATAACAGACCCTCTGAACTGATATGGTGGCACGGCTGTGCATAGGTCTGAAAGGTCCCATTGTCCTTGTGCCAATTCTTCACTGGCATAGCAGAGTGAGCAGCCACCTCAAATGGCAAATGCTGAGTGGCAGGGATTGGTCATGAGTCCCATGTAGATGGAGGGAACAGTCAGTTCCAGAGCAGAAGCAGGAGGAGCTCAGAGAGCGGAGGTGGATCTATACACAGGGGGAAAAAAACACACTATAAATAAGTCAGAAATTAGATTGTTATAACAACAACAACAACAACAACAAAAACCCTATGGAAAAACGTGTATAAAACTTTCCTGCTCTCTGGTGCCATCTGGTGTTGCATTTTTATAGTGAATTCAAATCGTTATTTCTTAACTAATGTAGCTGAGTCCCTAGTGTTGTAAGATCCTGGGGATGGACACAGTGGGTTTCAAATCATTCCAAGCCTCAAGAGATGTCTGACCCCAGAGAGGAACCCAGTGGCCTGGCGGAATGGAGATCCTGGTGAATGCTTGGATGGGTTAGAAGAAGTGTTCCGTTCCTCTGCCTACAGATATGCCTTGTCCACTGGGCTAGATACTGAGGAGAAGGAGGAGGAGGAGGAGGAGGAGGAGGAGGAGGAGGAGAAGAAGAAGAAGAAGAAGAAGAAGAAGAAGAAGAAGCCGCAGCAGCAGCTTGGTTGCTGGCATGGGCCTTGGTGCAATTGTTTCATATGTTCAACATTGTGATAGTGTGGTGTGTAAGGAAGAGGAACACAGTGTGACTTTAGTGCAGATTCCCTCAGAAGGTGAGAGTTCTAAATAACCTAGGTTTGAGGTGTGGAATTATTTTGAGATTCAGCCATGTGGTTTCTTTCCCATTTCAATGTTGGGTGAAGGCTGGTTCTGACACCCCAACTTCTTTTCCCTTGGTTGACAACTTTTAGCATATTGGCAGATATAGATAGAGAAGGTGGAAGCTGGTAGAAAAAAAGAATGTGTTCTAGTAAATAAAATGAAATACAGACTCCTTACTAGCTGATATTGAAATTCAATTTACACACACTTCCCCACTTGTCTTTCCATTAATGACAGAAAAGAACTATTCTTCTTGCTGAAAACAGACATATTTAAAAACTAGTGGAAGTTCATGGTGGTGAATATAAGGGAAATGTTGTGGGGGGGGAGGAAGAGGCGAGGGAGAGGGAGAGGGAGAGGGAGGAGGGAGGGAGGGAGGGAGGGAGAGAGAGAGAGAGAGAGAGAGAGAGAGAGAGATATGAGGCTGACAAGTAGGATTGAAGGTTGATATGTTTCTGCTATGACATGGCTGAAGATTGGGTGGTATGGAAGGTTCCAGATTAGCAGGATGTTCCATAAGAATTTCTAACCAGAATTAACAGCACAATCCTACACAGGTTTTCTTAGAAGTCCCATTTGGTTGAATAGGACTTAGTCCAAGGTAAGTATGCATAAGATTGAAAGCTAAGAGAGCTCCAAAACTTTATCGAATTAATTATTCATCCAAGAGATATCCTACTGACATTACTTAAAATAGAATTCTATACCTTCATGCAGTTAATGTAAATGCAACTACAAAAAAAATCACCAACTTTTGCCCTCTATTATCATTGTTAATTGGATGCGGCATGCAATGTGGCATACCATTCAAGCAGCGTGATGTAATGTACCAGGAGATATGAGCCTGCCATGATTCATCCCAGCATGAAATGCAATGGAGATGTTAATTCTCAAAATCTAACCGTTTATAAAAAGTGCATCCTGGAAATATGAAAAGGAGGAAGGGGTGAAATGGAATTTTAAACAATTTTGACCTTCATGAGGCTTGAGCTGACATCTTTCCTCTGCTACTCTCCCTCTACCTCTTCCTTTATACTCATTTGGATTGCAAATTGGGGGGGGGGAGTACAATATAAAGTTTTTTGGGAAATCAATTTGCAAAGTGCTCATTCCAGATAATGAAGGTAATGGTACCTTTGCCCAAGAGTTCCGGTGTGATAAAACAGATTTGGAATGATAGTTACTGAATAATCACATACCCTTCAGAAGCAGAACATTACTGTTAAAAAAACCCTAAAAAACCATCATGTTTTTCTCATTTATATCTGAGCCATGCTGCTGTGAATTCAAACACAGGTTTATAAAATGGATATATATACTGAATTGCTAAAGTTAGAAAAGATAGGACTGCTAGGAAGCCATGATCTCTGATGTGGATTTACTTTCCTTGGGGAGGGGCCATAGTAGTACAGTACAGCACATGCCTTGGTAGGAGAACATCACTGGTTCACAGCTTAAAATGCCCCATGTAACCTGGGAAAGACACTGGAGAAGGTACTGCAACTCAACATTGCCCAGTCGCCTGATGAAGCGTATGGAAGCTTCACACGCAACTATTATCCTATACATTTAATGATGTTAATCAGTTGTGATAGTAAGCGCTCTGAACATGCTCAAATCTACTCTTTTCTTTATTGCTTCTGTTGTTCGTCAGTTGGTCCTGGCACTGAAAGAAAGTTCATTTCAAAAGCTTTCTATGGTGCATAGTCTTATAAGCAGAAACATGTTATTGGAACACATAGATAGATATATGTGCTTCTAGATTCTGCAGTGATCATTGTCCACCTTTTGAACTCACTTATCTTGGAATAAGCTCTAGGAATATTAGAAGACATTTATAGGACTATTTATTTATTTATTTAAAATTTGTTCCCTGCCTTTCCTCCCAAAGGACTCCAGGGCTGCAGATTGCACTCACACATCAAAATAGGCCAAAGAATGGGACAGCAAAGTATACAGTGGTCTACACAGCACTGGAGATATGGGACCTTTTTAAAACTCCTTCTCAGAAACATGTTTAAAGCAGTCTGACACTATGGTCCATGCCCCCTTCTTGTAGTCACAGTAAAGATCAGTGTGAGGCAGCTGTGGAAAAGGCACATTCCATGCTAGGGATCATTAGGAAAGGAACCGAAGATGAAGTAGGCAATATCATAATGCTGTTTTATAAATTTGTGGTACAACACACACACACATATGGAATATTGTGCACAGTTCTGGGTGCCTGACATCAAAGGGGATATTATAGAAATGGAAAAGGTTCTGAAAAGAGCACCCAAACTATCAAGGGGATATAGCAACTCCCATATGCAGAAAAGTTACAAGGTGAGTAGTAGCAGATAAAAGGATGCATATAAAATTACGTATCTAAAATTCTCCCTGCATGGCTTGGAAAAAGTCAAGCAATAAGAGCTTTTGTCTTCCCCTCATCAGTCTCATTCAATGAAGCTGAATGTTGAAAGATTTAAGAAGACAAAAAAAGAGAGAACTTGTTTACACAGTGCATAGCTAAATTACGGAATGTGTTTCTACAAGTGGCAATGGTGACCATGAACTTGGATGGCTTTAAAAGAAGAATAAACAAATTAATGGAGGATAGGTCTATAATAGTAGTGATGTATGGAAGTGAGAGCTGGACCATAAAGAAGGCTGATCGCCGAAGAATTGATGCTTTTGAATTATGGTGCTGGAGGAGACTCTTGAGAGTCCCATGGACTGCAAGAAGATCAAACACATCCATTCTTAAGGAAATCAGCCCTGAGTGCTCACTGGAAGGACAGATCATGAAGCTGAGGCTCCAATACTTTGGCCACCTCATGAGAAGAGAAGACTCCCTGGAAAAGACCCTGATGTTGGAAAAGATGGAGGGCACAAGGAGAAGAGGAGGACAGAGGATGAGATGGTTGGATAGTGTTCTCGGAGCTACCAGCATGAGTTTGATCAAACTGTGGGAGGCAGTGGAAGACAGAAGTGCCTGGCGTGCTCTGGTCCATGGGGTCACGATGAGTTGGACACAACTAAATGACTAAACAACAACAACAAGGACTATAATTGGCTACTCGCCACAATGGCTATGTTCTTTATTGTCAAAGGCCATACATCTCTTAATACCAGTTGCTGGGAATCACAAATGGGGAGAGTGATGCTGTGCTCAAGTCTTGATTGTGGGCTTTCATAGGCCTCTGGCTGGCCACCATGAGTATAGAAAGATAGGCTGTTCCTATGACCAGACACTTCCTATTTTTAATGTAGTCCTTTGAAGCTATTTTCTACATGTTAGAATTGGGTTTTCTTTTGTTGATATGTATCTCCCCCCCCCCATGCCAATTACAGTGAAATGGATGTTCAAACAGTCGTATTATCCAGTCACCAATAACATCTGGTCTGTATGGGTCCATGAATCTCTCATTGCTCCATAATGTCTATATACAGATATAACCTGTCCAAACTCTTAGGAGGAAGGAACATAAAATCTCATTGATTTACAAAGAGAGCATCACACGGCTATCTAGTGTTCTCTGTATCTCTCTCACTTGCTCAGTCTCTCTCTAAAAAAAGTGCCTTAGAAGAAGCACTTGGAAGCTGGCAAAATAATCTCTTAAATAAACCACCAGTGGGGAATAAACTCGTAATCACGAAGGAGAGCCTGCTGTTCAGTATATCAACAAAAATGCATTGGGCCTGAGGCAAACCTGAGGGCAAACATTTCCCAGATGGATCCAAGAGGCCTAAATACCTTCAAAGATAAAAATTTAATTAGAGGGAATGTCACTGTAGTGAATAAAAGGGTTCATTGGTGATTTTTAAAACCTATTGTTTTCTGTAGGCATGGTGCATTTTTGAAGCAACAGGGCACTCTAGATTCAACCATGCACTTAAAAAAGAAAAACCACACCAGAGATTAAAGGGACTCAGAAGGCCAGGAATAGTTACCTTCCCCCATTGAATGATCAGAAACCAGAAAATTGATCAAAAATACTATTCAGTGGCAATTTTCATTTCTTCAGCCTTAAAGAGAATAGCAAAGGGGGTATTCTTTGCTACATGCAGTTTCACTTTATGAGTACACAACATGGAATTTGAGTTTCTCAGATTGCTGTAAAACATATCTTGGTGAGATTACATCCTTCAATGTGAATCAATTGCTCCCAGTAGTGACAAAACAGAGGCAATGCAGTATAGTAGGTAAAGTGTCTGATCAGGACAGCAAAGATCAAGGTTCAAACCGTCTTTGAGCAGTTTCAGCCTAGCAAAACATAAGCTCTACTTTATAGCAGGTCAAACTATTTGTCCATGACCAAGGTCTATTTGGCTGGCTAAGGTCTCAGACAGAAGTCTTTATCATTAGCTGCTATTTGACCTTTTTATTTATTTGTTTTTAATTTTTGAATGAGCCATTTTGCATGCAAAACATATGAACAAAGTCTCTCTTCAAACATAGCTCAACATACTTCACAGAGTTGTTCTGAGGATAAAATTGGTTGTTCTGGTCTTCATTTGAATTTGTAGTCCTCTGAATTTTGCAGTGCCATTCTCCAGCCAAGTGTGTAAAAAAATGCATATACTAAAGTGTCCATAAAATGCATATATTAATAAAAATCACATTTGAAAATATGTTATATTAGGGAAAACTGCATTGCAAAGAAGAGTATATTAGGCAAAAATGCATATAGAAATGTATATATTCAGAGAAATTAACCCTATAATGAGGATGAATTTTCATGAGGACTATATTAAAAAATCAACCAGCCAACAGATGTGGGATTATTTATTCGTTTCACAAAACACCAGCTACTCAAACAAACAAAAATCTGTAAGCGGGCTACAAAATGTGCAGTACTGAATTGGAAAAAATATGGTGGGTTGGGGAATGGGATGGGAGAAATGGAAAT